ACTAGCTCTGAATCAGAGTTTGTCTTTTCAGACGCCGGTGAAGTCGCACATAAAAACCGCAGAAAGTTATTGACAGAAAGGCTTCGTCCATTGCTTGAAGATGGTACAAATGCCTCCGTCTTACTTTGCTGGGGTGAAATATACAGTTGTTCGATTCTGTCGGTTGCGGTCTCTGATCCTGTAGATGAAGTCACCACGTGGGGAGAAATACACCATGCGTGGTATACACACAGAGGTCAATGGAGGAAACATTTGCCTTTCTATGATATCACGCAAGTTGACATAGTCGAGGTCTGTATTCGTATCGCATATGAATAATGTCCTTTTACTGGCACTGACATATTCCCGAAGCTTTCGATTGTGGGAGAAAACCCAAAAACATCGAGAAGTAAGGCTGAATACATTGGGATGTATACGATGATTGACAACCACGCTGAAAGGAAACGTCTGGAACGCATCATAGATAATTACGAGCCACAAGAATTTCAATGCTCATACAATCTATACACAGGAAGGGTCGACTGCCTGGAAAGCTGTGTGTCAACGATCCTAGATCATGTGCAATGTCCAGATGAAAGATTCTTCAACGCGGAGCGGGGTCTTTCTCTTCTCAATACCCGCCCTCTGATGAAACTTATTTTCTCCAATCCCAATCTCGCTGCGTCAAATGACTTCCTCAAAGGAAAGGGGATAGTGCACAGCCACGCGTAAGTGATATGTAATGGTTATAGTCAAGCAATTATAGTGAATGGAAAACTAATTAATAAATGACAGGGATGTCCTGGGGAAATTGAATGAATGGCACTGCTCTGAATTAAGAGAGCTCCGATTCCGTGGAATAATTATCAGCGAAGGCTGGAGGATTAGTACACAGCCCATGCTCTTGTCTTTGACAGAGACTATATTGTTGATCATAGTGGTTGCTGCTAAGTTTACATTCTATGATTGGGGCACAGCATGGAATATCGGGTGCTTCTTCGCCACATTGACAACGATTCCATGGATATGGGCCCATGCGGCCGTTTGATAAACCCAAGCAGGCAGGCTCTGTGTCATTGAAGGTGGGTCCTGGTTTGTGACAGCAAGGCGTTCCGTTGTTCAAGTGGTCATGGACAGGGGAGACGGTGCATGGAAAGAGGGCGGATTCTGTCGATACTCAGATTTCCAAATTTTCCAATATAACTGTAGAGGGGACCTGTAGAACCCCGGAATTTGTGTTGAGGTGTTCAGTAGTCGGTCCAGGTGGATAAAGGAGGATGGGCTGGAAATTTGGCTGTCAGAATATATTGAAGGCCAGCTGCAATTATATGGGAAGCTTACCCAGGGGATAGACTGGTTCGGTAGCCGACGAGCGCCAGCATTAATGGCGGGGTACCTTACCATAAGCTTACCTGGACGTGTAGATGTGCTAAGTGATCTTATCGGTCCTTTTGCGACGTGTCAGTCGCTAATTACTTTCTTTGCCTGCGCAAACCTAGTCTGTGCATCCATCATCGATAGAAAGAGAATATCAGCCCCGAATTCCAGTCGCACATTTTCTTTTCATCTGCAATATTCGTCTTCCATTATCTAAGAAAGCACACACGTCCGTCAAAGTGCTGATCTACTAGTAATCAGTGATATCTCACCTTGCGTCGCGTCGCGCCTTCATTCCCAAATTAATGTTGAACTCTAATGCCATTCCCAGCTGAGTCTAGTGTCCGCATGTATGGCCGTGCACTGAAAACCAAACTGTCATCTAATTGGAATGTGGACACTGCAAAGCAAAAACTAAAAATTCTCAGGAAAGAGTCGGCGCCGATCCCGCTGGATTTGGGGAGACCAAATCTGTTCCGACGGTTTAGTCTCGGTGATGAGGGGGAGCTGCACCTGTGCAACGTGTCTAATTTACCACACATCGGTTGAGTGACGATGCTCGCTACCGTGGGCCCGGAAACGATCCTGCTTACACAGTCTGGTGATGTCAAGATCAGTGAGGCATCCGCTCAGCTCACATGATGAGAATCTACGAAGACTAACTTTTACTAGTGGGCATCGAGAATAGCTGCCAAATCAATGAATCGGAAATGTATCCTGCGACGATCAAATTACAGGCTAAGACCATCGGTTTAGTCCCATTAGATGCGGAACCAGCGCTATCAAAGCTAAATATTCAGCTTCGGTCACCGACACCTATTATTGAACAATCTACAAGCAAATCAAGTATTTATCGCCCAGAAACACCAACAACAATCCTACAGCTATCTAAGCATGCAAATCAGCCAAAAAGCTACTAAAATATCGGTCGGAAAGCCCACCAGCACCTACCAAAGAGGTCATTAATCAGGCATACAAGGCTTACGAGCAGGTGATGCAAAGTATAATCTCAATGAAGAAAGAAATCAAGGATTTACAGGCCACCAACGAGAAAAACTACGGGGAAAAAAAAGCTACCTAGGAAACAGATAGTGAGGACTGAGCGTATGTTTGTTCATGAAGCCCATGAGCAAGGTATTGGTCTACTAGGTGGTTGAGAAGGTGGTGGTGTGTCCTCCACACCACCCACCCAGATGGCTTCGGTGACCGGTGGTGGCACCAACAGACGGCAAATCAAATGCAGTATATGCGGAAAGCTTGGCCATAGGGCTAGTAAAAGTCTAGATAGGGTTCAAATTGAATATAAAGGGGTTGTGGTTATTTAAATACTTCATGGATAAAGAATTGTCGGGTAGAAAAACGCCTATTCCGTGACCGCTCGGCCAAAAAGGTGCACCCCATCTGCCTGATGATCGTAAGGCTCTCAACGACCTTACTAAGCTCATCCCCTATTTATTCTGTACTTTCCTTAGTATGTACAAATCACACTCTCAAGTACTTCATTGGCTATGCCCGTACTAGTCCGTACTGTAAAGACCACGTTCCGACATCCTAGCCAATGCTAAATACGGTGTATCCGCGCCTATTCCTGGTTTGACATTGGACTTTGTGGGTCGGCCCACAACCCCGACTCCTGGCATATCCGGGACCCAATCGGTTTCTCGGCCCCTAATGCACAAACCGAAGACTTTGCTTAGATCTCTAACATAAATAGCTCACGGACTATAGATAATGTATATTGATATATTTATCGTATGTGGGTAAGATTGTAAGGAAACCTTTGCCCTTCGTCCGCGAGACGTTGAACACTCACCATCACCATCAACACACCATCAACATCAATGCCATTGGCCGCCAAACGCCACTTCATTAACCACATCCTTAAAATATATGTTTCCTATCTCATGAAATATTATGGGCTTGTTATTTCAACACACCGCACCGGGCATAAATATGTTCACATTTTCGTGTCTGCTCGCCTCAGGTTTTAGGTAAACAGATTTCCTTTTCTAAACGAGTGCCAAAGTTGAGGACCTCAATATTTTTGGATGACCAAGTAATAAAGACCTGTCGTCCGAGGAAGACTTTCTTTGCACAAGCTCTACGACCTGTTTCAAGAAATTCTGTCCCGTCTATTTCAAAACGCCGCCTGTCCAGAGTGACATAAAATCCTCAATGACCATTTGATTTGTCGATATGAAAGCCAGCCGTTGCGATTCAAAGCCCCGACACGCACTACAATATAAGCCCGTCCACACAAATGGCTCTGTCGACCCAAAAATCCATTTCTGCGGCAGCGGAATTATACTTTGCTTTATTTACCATATAATTCGGTGCTCTTCATCAACAAGCAATGCGATCACAGCATTGGTTTCTCTCTTATCCAATCTCTTTTGCTTTGGCACTTCTGCTTTTTGCCATCACTTGCTTGACTCGAGGAAGCAGCTCTCTTCTCTCTTCTTCCTGTTAGACCACATCGGAATTATTCTGCACATATGGGGGACGTCCGTATCGGTCTTGCTCTTAGAGAATTCTGGTAGTGGGAAAATCACTTCAGTCATTCTGGGAATCACACTGGCCGGGATGGTCTGTGCCACCTATTTGATAACCTGGCCAAGGGAGAAGAGACAACGAGTGCTGGTCATTGGAGTGTTTGGAGCATTGGCTTTATGCAGCGTCTCACTCTACAACGCTGTTTTCTCGAGCATGTCTCGATTGACGGCATCTTATATCTTCTTGGCTCTGCTCAATGGCATCGGAGGGTGGTTCTACTCACATGGGCCTATTCAAATCCTGAATCAAGGTTCACAAAAGTGCTATACTGTGTCGGGGCATGCCTTGATGCACCTTTGCTCCCTAATTGCATCCATATTTCACGCTTCGGTTTTGGTTTCTTCAGTTTGTATCTGACAGACTTGAGCGCCTGATCGCATGAGAACTCGACCCGGTCTGTTCCTCAGAGTCCACAGAAAGCGTTTTGATGAAATCAATGATGCCGGCTGATGATTCGTGTTGCAATATGAGGCTGGTGCAGATCAGGAATGAAGCCGCATCATCGGAAACAACATCTTCACAACCTTCACGAAGAACGAAATAGATCAAAATTCATTTTGAGCCTCATATCTTATATTTAGTCCCACGTACTCCCTGAGAAATAACAATTATTCAATGTCTGGACTGCAACACGTAGGGCTGCGAAGACATCTGCAGGAGAGTCATGGGGACCTAGTTCATTCGAGCCGCGGCATACACATTCGCGAAAGTATGGCCGCATTTCGTTTGGTAGCCAGGTTTAGGAAAAGACCCAAAGTCTCGAATATTGATGTGATATATGAACGGGACGGTATCCTCGCAGTCTGAGTGCGCATGTAAGTTGTACTTGACTACCAGAGCTTCTCAAATAAAACAAATTGTAGAGCGAACCTTTACCGTTTTCATTACTTTTTCGTCAGAGCGCGACACCATACCAACACTCACTGTACTAGGGCAGTATAAACGCCGCATCGGGTACATTTTGGATGCATTCATCGTGTAATGTAAACGATGACTATGTTCAGACAAAAGAACAGGGTCCTGGTAAGGAGCATTACAGGAAGTGGTCTAGTTCGTTGAGACCTAGTCTGGGCTTAAAAGACAAGATGGACCTAGCACCAAACGGCGGGACCAGCGAAAGACCGCCCAGCTGGCACTTCGACGCGTAGGCATGCAGGGGTCTGACCGTACCCGCTGCGTGCAATGTCCAGACGCGTTCCATGTGCCATGACGATATCGAGCCATTCTGTGTGGCGAGCCTTTGTGTGTTCCACCACAATACCAGGGTCTGCTTCATGTTGCAGCGGAAACGGAGCGACCAATAGCTCGTGGTATAAGCAGTAGCAGCACCGTCTAGGGTAGAGAATCGCACTATCTCTCCGAAGCTGCATACTGAGTAAATCAGAGCGAAGTTAAGGCACCAATGAAGAGCCAAGGGAGGTTGAAGGTGGAGTTTCGAGGCCGCACTTTGACAACAAGCTGCAGAGCCCTTTTAGACTCCCCGCCACAGATAAAGAGTCTCGAAGCTCATGCTCAATGATTTTCGGGTCTACTTGGTAGTGGCTAGGTGCGAAGAGGATTGTCAGGCGTGCGGGTGTCCCAAGATGCCTGTGTCGGGCTGGGAGTCAGATTCACGAAATCGGCGAAATTGAACTGTGGGCTCGAAGTTCCTAGGGTCGCAAACATGTCGCCATCTAGTATGGGAGTCTTTGATGGCAAGACTGCATGCTGACTTGGAGTAATGGAAGGGGGAAGACCTGATTGCTTCCAAGTATCTGGGCGGGGGAGGGGGAGTCGACCATATACGGTGACAAGTCTGACCTATTCGCTTCTTCGATATACCGGCCGGTTCGTGCTAGTCGTGAGTGCTTTCGGGGAGAAATGAGTGGTGGAGAGGAGCCTATCTTCGAGCTCGCATTCTGGTGACTGGGCAGCGGCAGCTCAGAATCGGTTTCTTCGTCAGACGGTTGATGAAAGACAGACGGTGTTTCTGGAATTAAAACCGCAGCCATAAAGGCTGTAAGATGCCCCTGCATGCCAGGAGATGATTTTGCCAGCCTGTAAGAGCTCTTCCGCGAGACTCGGGGTGCCTTTTTAGGGCGCACTGAGGCTGGATCCGACTGAAGACGCTTGGGGCTGGCAAAACTCATCGGCTGCATCACTGGAGAGTTGAGGGAGAATGCATGCTTGTTGCGGGCTGATTGAGGTGGTTCCTGGTAGGTCGAGGCTCGGAGAGGCGGAGAAGTCAATAGGGTTCCGCAACGACTGCGTAGAAACTCCGAGATGTCGAGGGGCTTGTGGCCGTCCAAGGGCTGGCTTGAGTACAGGCCGTTAAGCGGACCATGTTGGTATTTGAGTTTGGCCAGGCCTAGTCGATACCGCAGATTTAAGGATACCTGGCGCAGAACAAATTTAGCTAGGCTTGTTCATAAGGAGCCCTTGGGGGGCGAGATATAGGCTACACTGGAGGCTTGTGGTGTCCAGATTCACTGCTGCATTCCAGAAATCCCCGAATGGTATAGATTTTTTTCTTCCGCTCGATTCTTACCTGAGCGATGTGGGTTTCGCGAAAGGTCTTCTCAGTCGAACTCGGCTGCAACAGTGTCATGGTGGGCGACGAAGAGAAAGGCTGTTCGATAGTACAAAGGGAGAAAGCTAGGGTCTTTGCGGACTGCAGATGTAAGGACAGCTGCGTAGGAAGGAGTGGCATACAATCACAAATGAGAAAAGGAGCACCCGGACTTAAAGCTGAAGATCGCCCGGGCAAATGAGAGCAGGCCAGATCGAGGACTAATCGAATATTGTAATGCTCAGTTTTATTCCCGGAAGAACAGTAATTGTATCGTAAGTAAGGTTTTCATACAAGAAACGGCGTGTGTGGGAGTAAGTGACGGCGAACGCACGCTGAGCTCTAATGCAATCGTGTCTCGCCCCATTCCAAAATGGAACGATACACGTGACTCTACAATGATGCTGGCGTACGTAATCTGAAGGACCCTTGGCAATTTGTTTGCATAATGAAGAGCCAACGCGGAATAAGTTAGTTAACTAACCGTGAAATCCGATTTCAAAGGTAAATGCAATCCGCGAGGATTTATTCGCTGGGTGGTTGTGTGGATCCGGTCGCATTTACGATTAACCGAGATTGCTCTGTTTCTCCCGTTTCAATTAAGATACGTGAGTGGCTGACAACTCGTTGGAGGAGCGGAACCACTGACATTGCAACATTTTATCAGGCTGAATATTCATCAATGCCTCTTACAGATCCGTCAATTTACTGTCCATTGTGCCAATGTGATCTGGATGCGGCTCAAACGTGGCATTACCTGCTCGAGGAAGGGACGGAGGAGGATGGCAGTAGAACGGGACAACCGATACACCGTCATTTCATGAAGATGATTCGCTTGACGGAAGAGGAGCGATCGCAAGAAACAACTGTGCACGACTACTGTTGGCGGATCGTCAAGCGCATCTTCAGGAAAGTCAATTTCGACCAGGCTTGGATTGATCAATTTAAGAGCTACAGTCATCTCCTCTCTCCTTTCATGCAAGAAGCCCCTTTTTGCGACGAATCCCATACCCTGGATCTCGATGTGTTCATGACTTTCAAGACAGCCAGCCGTAAGGAGAAAACGCAACGTCCGCTCTACATACCTTTGCCCCCCGAGGCCATTCAACGAATTTATTGCTTCCTCGACCGAGAAGAAGATATTGTCAACCTTGATGACGCCTTATCCGTTGGCCCTTGTCCCAAACAATGGAGGGAGCTTGGGTTCAAATACATGTTGGCAGATGATCTCGACCCAAGAGAAAATATCAAAACTCTTATTCGCAACCTGCAAGAGCAGCCAGAAAGTCGCTTCCCAAAGACCACTAATTATCGAATCATTTGGGCCAATGTTGAGATTTTGTGGACCGTTATGGATACCCTGTTGGTGATAACAAATGTGCCAGCAGATGCCTCAGTGGCGCATGGTATAAAACTCGGAGATTACCACAACTCTGTACGGTACGCGATTGGGCTTCGTGGGGCTCACTACATCGTCTTCATGTTCAGTGAGACTCAGGATATTCAAGTTCTTTGTGGAATCGCTATCAATGGCCGAACAATTGGTCATGAGGGCCCGATATGGCGGTTTGTTCAAGTGACATCTTTGACAGGGCTCAGGATTGCAAATGTCGAGAACCATTTTGTTGGCATCCAAATAAAGGATAATCTCACTTGGCAGGATAAATGGCATGGGGAACATCCGGAAAACAGTGCTTGCACCACTTTTGAATGGGATTCTAGAAGCAGTGAAATTGTGGCATCACATGATGTAGGTTCTTCTGCTAAATTATCCTGCGAGATAATTTTACTAACGATCACCAGGGTAATAAAATCACAGAACTCGGATGTCGGGTTTCTCCTGGGTAGACATACTCAACCTGAATGGCTTGTAAGCGAACCGGATGTTGGCCTCGCTTGCCGGAGAGTACACAAAGCATCGCACAGTAATTTGTACAATTTAATCCCCTGTTCTCCACTAACGTATTTGTTGAAAGGAACTTCAATCTGGTCAAAATAGCACTGCAGATTGCCATCAATGTACACTGAAGATATACTAGCGGTACAGTATGTGTGTGTGTGTAATCAATGTACCCTGACTCCTCGTCGAGTTGAAACCCTGAATTGAGGTTGAGAATATCCAGCTACTTGTAGTCGCAGTAACGTTAGCTCATCTCTCTTCGGCGTAGCGGAGTGGCAAGAGGTTGGTTCAAGGGCCCGAGGGCGCTTCGACCATTTCACGTCCTCCGAATCATTGGCAATCAAACGGCCACCTAAGTCATCCCACAATATTTTGCGCCACTCACTGTCGCCGTGGACCACACCATGCGAGCGGAGCACAGCCAGGGCTTTCTCGTGCTCTTTGTGGAAGAAATTCGAGATTTAGTCGTTGATGACGTGCTGAAGCCTGCTCCCTGACCAGTTCAGGGTCATCGTCTGCTTCATTTGTTACCAATGAGGCTCGTGGTGTAAATATCGCAAGATAGACGGGGACGTTTTTACCCTGTAGCCTTTTGAGATAAGGATAATTGCCTGCCACTGCTTGAATAAGAGGCTGCTTGTCCGCCGTGGTAGCGTGGACTATCGGTGTATCCTGAGGCTTCACAGAAAGAATGGTCTGGAAACCAGTCCCAATCACTCCGTGATAGTCAAAGGAAGGGTATAATTTGTACCCTTAGCAAGGTTAGAAGCGCAATTTCTCACAAGTTTTAACACTAATAAATTTATTAGGTTCGTGGCCTAGCGTTTATTATCAACGCTAGCAGCCCTCAGCGTGGTGATACATTTCGAAGTCTCCAGATTGAAGGCTCAAAGCTTTTACCAATTCAGGATGTCAAAACCCGCTGGAATTCCACTTTTCTTATGCTTCAACGTGCAAAGAGATTACAGCTAGTGTTCAACAGATACTGCTCTGAAAATCAGTATACGCAGTTCACGTTAGATTGGGAAGAATGGCGACAAATTGATTACCTGCTATGTTTGACCCAACCTTTTTCCAATTTACCACTATTCCCTGCCAAACTAAGGAAGTGACTGTTCATATCATTTTCGAGATTTACCACACTCTTTTTGAACATCTTGAAAAATCGATACAACAACTTCAACAAAAGAGGGTCCCTTGGAAGCAATCAATGCTTTGTGCAATTCAGGCAGGAAAGGAAAAAGCTTGCAGCTTATTATGGTAGCATTACTAAAGCCCATGGTGATCTTTACGCGATCGGTACAATACTTGCACCACAGCATAAACTGCAATTCTTTTCGCGTTGCGAATGGGCAGAGAATAACTTCGCATCGCGTGAGAGATATCGACAAAGTCTTAAAGACTATGTTCGACCCTATCAAGAGGGGCTATCCAATAGCCAAGCATTCTCAAATAACCAAACACCATTGGACCAGGGCTCAAAGCTTGCAGCACTCATCGCGCAGGTCGGTTCGAATCGAAAACCAGTACCTCGCCACAGTAATGAGGTTGAAAAGTATCTTGAGAGTGGTATTGTCTTAACTCGGTTTGTTTCTATAGTGAATATGGCTAAACTAGATCATCTAGGCACTACTACAATTGACCCATGTTCCTTCTGGAAAGGCCATCAGCATGAATTTCCGATGCTCGCAAGTGTTGCACGAGATGTTCTTTCTGTCCCAGCAACAGGTGCGGGCGTTGAGCGACTGTTTAACTCTGCTCGGGATATCTGTCATTATCGTTGAGGGTCACTGAAGCCTACCACGATACAGGACCTGGTGATGTATATGTATGCAACTAAGTTTGACTTCGGGGGGGAGGAGCAAGAAACCTTTAGGCAATCCTTCGGTCACATCGGACCGGATAGGGCCAGATTAAGCCGGACCAGGCGACTGCAGACTATCTGCGAGATTACTAAACCTCGTCCTGTTGTTAGCGAGTATGCGAGCTACAGCATACAGTAAATTTTGAAAACGGCTTCACATCATGTCTTCAGAACAGATTTTCTCGCCCTTGAATATTATGTCGACTTATGCGAATGTTACGACGACGTGGACGGCCGTGAGGGCTGGGACGAACTGGAATATCTCTCAGGTGATCACCCTTCGTACACGCGTGTTTATAAGACGATACGACGGACTTGTGCCGAGCAACAAGAGATCATAGAAGCAGGAAGTGATTCGACTTTGATAAGTCTTGCCTTTGATCTCCTCTATAACTTGAAAGAATTGGTATTGGTATTTTGTGAAACAAAAGGCCACGAGGATTGGGAGAGGGATTACTACCAGGTGTCTGGTATGACAGAGCCAAGGTCTTATGAGCACCATATTCAGCTGGTACTGGCTACTCTAGAGGGTCACAGCTTGGCTTTAATGGTCATTCAGCTCACCTGTCGCGAACCTCCCAATAATACTCCCTCGGGAAGCTCCCATTGGAGCTCTTTGAGAACTTCCGTCACTGAGCTAGTTGAATACGCGCTGGGCCTACTGCTTGTCGAAAGCGACATGGATTTGGAGTCACTGTGTCGCGTAAGTCTGGACATACGTGAGCTATTACTGTGCTCAATTTATACGGAGCTGGCCTTTATAGAGAGCTTTCTACGATACAACGCTCAGTCCTTGCGCTCTCTCGGTGTTCACGATGTCAAAGTCATTGACCAGGGAAAGCACACCCCCTTAACTCCTGCACATGTTGGAGACACGATCGGTTTGGTGGTTGAAAGAGAAAAGAGGCTCGGTCACTTCTCGTGTGTGCGCTCATTCCAGGAGGGGTGGAAGTTGTTCTTTTCTGCCCCAAATGCTAGGAAAGGGAAGGAAGAGCTTCATAGAAGGGCCTAGAGCCATTCTTACTACGTGACCTGACTCGACCCAATTGCCTTACTATCATTCCTTAATATTTATTCCTGAACGTCATCGAAATCCTAGTTACTATTGGTTACCTTTCAAAGTAGACGATAGTCATGAATTGATATCATTGCTTAGCCAGAAGGACTTCTGAGATAAGATCTTCAATCAATCTATTGACACGGTTTGAATTGCACCCTAATATAAAAGCAAAAAGAATTATCCCCAAGACCACAAATCACCGAGCCCGTAATCGCTTTTGGGTCAGAACACCGCGCAACATACTCGGGATCGAACCTGAGATTTCAGCATCAGCGCCCTGCTAAGGCGAAGAAAGCCTATGATCGCGTGGACTGGGGCAGGATCGCCGAAGACGTGCTTCGACAAATGGGCCAAAAAGGAGGTGAAAACGAGACTGGCGGTAGATGCGACAGTCGAGAGGCTCACAGAGCCGACCGCCACAGCGATGGATAGAAACACCCCCAACCTGCTGCCAACACCTTACTAAACACTGGTTCACCCCAGACCTTAAACCAGCGAAGAGGTGAAGAGTGCGCCCTGGGTCCTGCGTTGGGCGATTTATCCATGAGGATTTTTGTACTTCCTGCTAAGGCTACTTCGAGTATTTGGTTGTCTTACAATACTCAGCCTGTTTGGTCGACGCGTTGTTTGCCAGCCAATCCCCCTGTCATCTCCTACCCCGCCTGGTTTTTGACAGCGCATCCTCTTCCGTCGCCTTCCTCCTGTTACACAATTTCTCATCTGGCATTTCAAATCCTTTCTTCTTGCCCTTTTCTTACATCTCTTCAGTGCCCAATGCAACTTGCAACTACTTGACCTTTCTGTCATCAGCATGGATACCCACGACGTCTCCGATGTGCCAGAGTACCTTATGTATCTTCAAGCACAGAAGCAAAATCTGAAAAACGCGCAGGCCGTCAAGGGCCGTCCAGCAAGACCCCAAAAGTCCAAAGATAAAATCTTGATGCAGTTCATGTTTCGACAAATGATGAAAACGAAAGCTCCTGCTAATCCGATGAATATCCGATCCTCGTTCCTACCACCTGCCTACCCCCCATGTGTTAGCCCCTTCAGCAAGTTGAATAAGGTCATGATCAACAGCCTATGTCTTGAGACTCATCATCGGGAACGGTATCTCCTTCTGAGAACGATCACTCAGACAGATACGATGACCGCCGTGATGGCCATCGTGGAAGATGAAGACGGGAGTGTTCTCATGCTGCAGCTCTACAACCAAGAGCAGGAGCTATCGGGCGCACAGAAACTCAGGGAGGGTACAGTGCTTGTTGTGAAAGAACCCTATGTGAAAGTAATGGCAGACGGGGACTACGGGATTCGAGTGGACCATCTCTCGGATGTCTGGTTTATCCCCGAGTTTGACGACCTGGTTCCCTTTTCCTGGAGGAAACGTGTCACGCAGGCTGATGAGAACGCATCTTCTTGGAAGGCGAAAGGAAGTGAGCATTTTGATCAGGGTGATTATCGTTCGGCAATCCAATGGTAAGCTGCAACATATTGCTGTGTTTCAGAGGGGATGCTAAGAATAACTTCAGCTATTCAAAGACTTTGGAGACCCATCCATCACCAGAATTGTTGGTGGTAGCGCAGCTCAACCGTGCCCTTTCCTTTTTGAAAAGCTACAACTTTGATGCAGCGTTGAGAGATGTTAACGATGTCTTGCAAGTATCAGAGCTATCAGAAGAGGCTCTTTTCAGGAAGGCCCAAGCCCTGTATCAACTTCGAAGGTTCAAGGAATCATGTGAAACTCACGCAATACTTACGGAGCAGTATCCAGATAACACCATGGCTGCACATGAGTATGCACGAGCATCTGCTCGGCTTGTAGAGCAGGATGGCGGGAAATACGAGTTCGGGAAAATGATACTGGAGGCCAGGAAGCGTCAGCCCCCGAGGCTTGACCGCGGCAGCTACATTGGTCCTGTGACTGTCAAGCAAACTCAATCTCATGGGAGAGGACTCTTCACAACAGAGGCGGTGAAGGCAGGCGACCTTCTGTTCTGCGAAAAAGCATTTGCTCACGCTTTCCACGATGAAAACGCCTCGAAAGATCTCCGTCTGTTACTTAATGTCGACATGGACAAAGCTACGATTGGTACCCAAGGAGAGCTTATAGAATTGATTGTTCAGAAGCTTTATAAAAATCCGTCCCTGCTACCAGGCTTTGTCGATCTTCATCATGGCACATACAAATCAGTGGATGTCCTAGAAGTGGATGTTATACCCGTCGTAGATACGTATGTCACTGCTTCCCCATCTTGATATCAAAGCTAATACCTTCCAGCTTCCTCGTTGAGAGAATCATTCTCCTAAACAGTTTCGGGTGCCCTCTTCTCTCCCGCGAGAGCCATATACGCAGCGTGAAAGGGGATGATGATACGGCCAAAAAGGCCAATCAACAGTTCCATTCAAGTGGGGTCTGGTCGATGGCGTCATACATTAACCACTCTTGCCTGAGCAATGCTCATCGCTCTTTCATTGGAGACATGATGATCGTTCGTGCTTCAAGGGACTTGCCTCCTAACACCGAAATTACCTTCTGGTATAAATCACCCATGATCCGTGAGCCCGAAGAATTACCCGTCAACCTACAGCACTGGGGCTTCAAGTGCGATTGCATATTATGCCAGGACACACGAAGTCCTAGCATGAGTGTTCTATCAAAACGAAACAGAATTTCGGACGACCTTCGAAGATTATTTAAGAGATCCAATATGAATTTGCGAAAGATTGAAGACACAATTTCCAGCCTCGCAGGCACATATTGCCGACCAGCTTCTGAAGTCCCTCGTCTTGCACTTGATTCGCCATATCTGTCTCTTGCTGCGATCTATGCTTCATCCCGCAAACTCGAAAAGGCTGTGGAATTTGGATTGATGAGCCTAGAGTCACTTGGCTTCGTTATCAAAGGTGGAAGTATTCCTCATGTCTCAGATGCTCCACTAGTTGTCCAAGAATGGGGCCTGATGACTGATGGAGTTGTGGGGTGCTGGATGATTCTGTGCTGTGCATATCAAGAGCTCGCACCTACTCTCGCGTCCCAAGCTGAGGGATATGCCAGAGTCTCCTACAGAATCTGCGTTGGCGAAGATGAGACTTTTGATCAGACATACAACAGGCTATCAAATCGGGTGGATGGCTTTTTGACGACCGCAAAGTAGTCATGCGAGGTCATTACGCGATGACTGGACATTTTTCGACTCATGCCACGGCAGAAGCCATAAGCCTCTAAAACATACCTCAAGCAAGTTCGTAGAGAGGCGTTTTTCTCCCCTTCTGTTTTTATTTACGCAGACTTGAAGAAGCAAATGATGAATATAATTGGATTGTACTCAAGCGTGTCATTTTGCTGATAGAGTGTTAGGACAGTCCCCTGGAGGCGTCCTGGTACGATATAGATACGAGTGAAGAATGTGAGATGTGCCTGATATGGGTATGATGATATTCAAACTAACCGCTGGGTCCTCCTAAGAGGATCCAGCTTCCCCTTTTAGGGGATCTCCCCCGTGCGCATGCAAGCGATTAAGCGAGGTGATGTATCAACAGGCGACTTCTGTGGTGCATAGGCACCTCCTCTGCATTCCCTATACCTCCTTGTATGGTTGGCGTAACATGGATGCTGCTGTGGACGCTGCAGTTGAACCTACACTTCCCCCTATGCCCCTAATTAGGCGTGATGTGACGTGCTCTGGTTGTGGAATTCAAGGTCATACATATACTAAATGTTCTACGCGTTTTAGATAGTCAATTGATGTTTATTTTTGTTATTATATATGATGTTCACAATTTTGATTTTTTTGAAGTTCTGAGAAAGTGGCCGGAGTAACAGGGATCCACGTTAGTTAAACCTCGACTGCCAAGATTTCGTGCCTGGTAACTTGAAAGCCCCGGTCCGTCAGTTTGTCCGATTCCCGAACCTGGGTCCAACCCCCTCGCGACTTCAACGGTACCGAACCGAAAGCAACAACGCTACCATACGTTTTGTTTGAAAAGCTCAATGAATCGAAGCAGCTCACCCAATTACAAAGAACTTTTCGAAAGAGAAACAAAGCTACGTATACAGGCTGAGGAAGAACGACGACAGGCTGAGGAAGAACGACGACAGGCTGAGGAAGAACGACGACAGGCTGAGGAAGAACGACAACAGGCTGAGGAAGAGAGACGACAAGCCGAAGAACGAAACAGGCAGTTCACTAGAAAGACTTCTTTGCTAGAATATCTTCGAACCTGCCATAACTTGCTCTCCTGCCCCTTGCACGTTAGAACTCCGTCTCGTTCTACGAAGGGCAAGATCCCAGCCCCTCAAGGGAAGTATTGCCCCGCTCGCCTTCTTCCATGGACACATTGTGCCGCTGCACAGCAGGAAATATACGACTCGGTTTGCAGCTACCTCCAAGCAACGAATGACCACCCTCCCCAATTATTTTCGACTGTTGCGCGTCTGGAAGGCGTCGCCGACTCGTTGGATCGTCCACTGAGCAGTGAACGGGATCTTGAAACTTATGAAAGACTTGCCGTTGAAAATCATGTGCGAGATATCATTTCTGAACTCTGCAGAATACCTGAAGCCCGGCGACGGTTTCGTCTTGGCGATGGCGTATGGTTTGAGAGCCATACCAATAGTCTAGAGGATGACGCAGCTCAGAATGATGGCACTCTCTACGATGAAGACCGATCGTCACGACAATGCCGGCCAAGGCCTGACCAGTTCTGTATCCACCGAGCTGACGACAAAAATTCTCTGCTTATGACGGTGGAATACAAGCCCCCTCATAAACTGACTGTTGAAAATCTGCGCGTGGGTCTTCAGCCACGGATGGATTTCTGGGATGATGTGGTGCAACGCAAAGAGATACCTACCGATGAAGCTGAGAAGTTGAAATATAATGCCGAGCAGATTGTTGGGTCAGTTCTCACCCAGGAATATCACGTTATGCTTTGGGAGGGCCTTGAGATTTCCTATGTGACCATCGGTCTTGCACTGGTCCTTCTCCGAATACCTCAGGATGACCCGGGCACGCTACTTTACTTCCTTTGCGAGCCCAATATGGAAATTGATGGGAATGATGATGACAGCTATCGACAACCAAGAACAGCTGTTGCTCGGGTGCTTTGTCTTTCTTTGATGAGTTCTCTTTCTGCCATCCGCGACCATGCTTGGCGGACTAGTGCAATGGGTCAGCTGAATACTTGGGAGACTAGTCTTGAACTTGTACGGTCCCGAATACCAGATGACGAGCTCCAGCAAGCCCCACCTGGCTCAGAATATACGGGATCTCCTCATACTAGTACCGAAGGCACTGGTTCTGAATGGCTACCTTCGTCACCCATGCCGTCGCCCACACCACAAGGCCGTGCACAGCTTCGATCTGGTTGTGCACCGTCGCAAGCCGTCCCTGGTCCAGATCAGTCTTCCGATGATTCGGATTCAAATCAAACGGCGCCTGAAGCTAGACGAAAGCGGACTCTCAGCAAAGTCACGTCTTCCCCTCCTAACCAGCCAAGTAGGCCAAGAGGCTTTGGCAATGATCGAAGTGGGGCCCATCGACAACATACCGCGCAATTTTGTACACAACGATGCTTACTTGGGCTTCAACAGCACGGCTTGTTGGATGACAATTGCCCAAATGTGGACCTGCACAGAAAGTGTGGAAATGACGAACGGCATCCCATTACAAAAGAGGGCTTAGTCCAACAGCTGAATCAACAATTGAATAAAGACCTGGATCATTATTGCACCCCATTGGGAGATTGTGGGGCGTGGACGTCTGGGGCACCTTTCAAGATTGTTTGTGTCCGATATGGCTACACGGTTATTGGAAAGGGGACAACCGACCGACTCTGGAAAGAGGTGTCTAATGAAGCAATGATATATCGTATCCTCCAAAAAGCGCAAGGGTCCGCCGTACCAGTTTTCCTGGGAACAATCGACCTGGCTATGACTTATTTCCTCCATGGGGCGGGTGAGATTCGACATATGCTGCTTATGGCTTGGGGCGGCGAGAAAATAAGTAGATTGGAGCTTCCCGTGGATCTTGATTGTGAGCTTCGACGATCTCGGGAAGAGATCCACTCCCTCGGGGTGGTGCATGGCGACCTCAATGACGGAAATCTACTATGGAATTCAGAGTTGAAGCGGATTCTCATCATTGACTTCCATGACGTGGCACTGAACCCTGGTTTGAAAAAGAGGCAGTCGAGAGCATCAAAGAGGAAGTTGTTTGAACCACAACATCGAGAACGAAAACGCCTTCGGATGGCTCTGGTATAGACACAGATTTCACCCAACGGAAGCAAGGCTGAATTATTACCATGTCAAGCTCTTGGCTATTGCATTGTGGGCCTCGAGGATAAACGTACGTACTCGCAAGAAATACAGAACAATGCGTATTACCGCGCTCACGCGAGGATAGCGTTGATTAAAATCACAGTCGTTGGTCTTTCGGTATCGCGGCATATTGATACAAAGGACAGGGAAATGAAAGGTTTTACGAGAGGGGGACGAGGACACTGCGTTTAATGAATAAAAACATACAAATATTAGGCAGGCTCACGGAGCCCTGCGCATGCTGTGGCTAAGCCAAAGGCAAGTTTAGCTGTGACTTCGGCTCCTTAATGCCCACCTTTGGCAGCTGTTAACTTCAGTAGAGATCATCAGGCGTCCTCGTAGGCCGTACCAGGCAGGACAACATAGCACCACCCAGAATGCAACTGACCCGTCATTGACGCAGAATCCAGTGTTTTACATTCCCACAGGCATTCAGCAGAACCGGAAAAGCGTGCGAGAACTAGTCGATTAGGCGGGGTCAAGACCGACATCTACCTTTTGCATTAGTGTCAGTTTCACTTATGCTTCCCAATGAAGCTCTGCGAACTTAAAGTTATGTGTATGGCTGTAATGTTTATGCTTGTAATCCAAAATATCTAATGACGGGCACCTGTGGAGAGCCACCCAGCCAATAACCAGCTAACCTACTGCCATGTGCACAAGTTGCCGCGAAGGTACCGCGCGGGTGGGAGATTGATGAGCGCCGCTTTGTGGTCAAATATGCTATAGACAGTGTTTCGCCGAACATGGCGAACTGATCTCACGAGGCTCACATTAGGTCATATTACCGTCTTTGGTAGACAGAATCAGCCAAGTGCGTCGGAAACAGACGGGACTCTGTAATGCCGATTCCGTCACCATTGTGATTGTCGGTCACATGTTTCGCTGGGCTTCAGCATCTGTCCGTCACAATATTAGTCGAATACAGACTTCTCCAGCGTAGCTAGCGGAGAAAGGATCGATTGACTCGAATATTGTAGAGGTTCCATAAGAGGCCGTAAGGGGCAAGCGGAAGCTAACCCCTATTGCACCAACATCGTGCCAGGGGATTATGTCTCGTAGCTGCCCGTGTGCCTGACAAAGATTCCCCGGGGCCATTTCAACCCAAGGCGGGAAGAACAGTTTCTCTCCTATAGTCTCGCCAAATGTCCGATAAAACCGTGCTAACCATAGTGTTGTAGTTCAGAGGGATGATATTCATTTATCTTCCAGATGGAATATATGAGGCTATACATACAGCATAAGCTCCAAGTTAATTTCCAATCGACTTGCTTCTTCGTCTAGACACCTCGGGAGCTAATTCCGATGGTGCAGGTTTGTTCCTGATCTGCACCAGCCTCATATCACAACACATACCCTATCCAGTGCGCCTCTTGCGGGAAAACTTAACGCTGGTATCTAGAGGAAATGTCGCTACCTTGAGTAGAGATGGACAGAGGATTTGGACCCGTCCGCTTGAAGCCGGACAGTGTGTCGAGATTGGGGTAAAAAACGCATTCGGTCGTGGAAGACCCTTGAGTTTCATATCCTGCAAGGTCAACTTTGTTAAGAACCTGCCGCGGATCATCAGGGTCACTGCGAGACAGGGAGGCGGTCTCGGTATGCCAGAACATTCATGCTAGATAGCGTAAAGAGCGGATCCAAAACGTAGTGTAATAATGTTAGGACAAAATAGCTATCGAGGGAACGGATACAGACCATTTTTGGCCGAGTCATTCATATCCGTCGAAAACTCGCTGTCGAAGCCGCTGTAGAAAAAATACAGAGGTGTATAAAGTAGCGATTTAACGAGGGTTGGGAGGGATGGAAAGCTGGAGGCTGAGCAGATTTCTCTCTGATTACAAAAGGTCAGGACAAACTAGGAGGGATTTACAGCCAGATGCTAAGTTCTCGAATGCGTTAGATGCATCAACAGCCGTGAACCGTTGGCACCCCGTCACCAAACCCAACGAAAATCCACTAGTGGTTGCATGAGCCTCGTCTAAGACCATCGCTGGTCTTTAGGAGACGACGCAAATAGATATCGGAAAAATCCAAATGTTATTCTTCTTGCCCGCAAACGTTTACGTATCTAACGGTAAAATTACAGATAACCTTTTTCAAACCAATGCACTCCTTGAGCTCTGCGGCGGTACTTTCTCTCTTCACCACCTCTCCACCTCACCACCTCACCATCTCCCCGGGGGTCAACGGCGATTAAAATGACTTGAGTTGATGTTCTATTGAGGGAAATAATAGCCCTCGGCCGAAAAGAAAATCTATGGAAAATTTGGCGAGGAAATGGAACCTAGTGAATCCCGTGCTGTAGGCTCTAGCCGTTGAGATAACAATACTATTAGGGAACATGACCTGGTCAGTTTTACGCCCCTCACTTCCAAAAAGTCTTACGGAGTTTTAGCGAATCACGACAACACTCATCATGAACACAGTACGGGTATAACATTCAACGCTCGCAAAATCACGCTCCGTCTTTGAAGCCCTCCTGAGATAAGCATCTTACAAGTGCCCCCTGTAGATTCGCCTCTTCTTATCGCAGTTTTGCCCATCTCCAGCCCTGATCAATATATTACTCCGTCTACATTGTCTTACACTCTATTCCCACCATGAAGTCCATTGTTTCCCTAGCCGCATTCGCTGGTGTCTCTCTAGCACAGAATTCCATCATCGGCCTTCCTACCGCTGGTCAGAACCTCACCAAAGGCAGCAACGTGGTCATCCAGGTTAAGCGTCCTGTATGTTGCCTCTAATACAGACTCAAACTGCAAATGTCTAACTATTCTAACATGTCGACTAGAACTCCTTAACAGGCTCTACCGAGATTGCTGTTATGATTGGAATTTCGTCCTGCGTATCCACTGCTTGTCGACCTGCAGGTGAGGTTATGGGTACTATTCTTTACCATGGGGACTTCGATCCTCAGTACTACGAGGCTAGCCAGCCTCCCTATCAGAACTTCACTATCACAGTTCCCAACTTGATTCCTGCTGGGGATGCGCAGATCAATATTGCCCATGTCGCTCTTGTCGGAGTGAGTATAGTCTGACACCTATGGTTTAGCGTTTATTTGCTAAACCCTTGATTACAGGCAGGGGCTTTCCCCTACCTGGAGACTCTGAACCGCACCGTAGTCATGATCTGACCCACTGAGATAAACATTCTCAGACACGACGGCCCTCTCATTCAAAAAAGACAAAAGCAGTTGAAAGTACCTAAAATGCTCAGGATTCTTTCTAACAGGGGCAATTCTTCCTCTTCCCGATGTTCATGACAATCCGGACGTTTGGATGGCCTTCGTTTCAGGATGTGGGGAAGATTAATCGAGATTGCTATAAATCATTAGGGAATCTACTGGCCTCCAGCCTGGGGAGATTGTCGCTTCTTTCGCTTTTATTAGGGTGTAGTTTTGTTAGCCAAAAGAATGTGGTATGAAATAACAGATGGTACTCTTACAGTTTTAAGCTGTCAAGCCCTGGATAACCATGGTGAGAGTCATATTCCTCACGGGTCACACACAATGGGCACAGCGGTCCGTACTGCTACATCTCCAGCGTAAACCCTCAAATGCATTTGCCATCTGACCGGGCCCATCTGTACCCCGTATCCCCGTCCAAAACATCGGGCCGACATGTACACTGGACAGAACTTTGTCACGATCGATGGAAGGTTTAGTACAAAGAACGGTCCGACACACGCTGACTTAGCGGCCTTACCCAGCGTCTATTCACTGCTAAGCCCCGAAAAGAATGCCTTGCCTGCCACCGGTCTCAAGAGGGCTCGCTGATTCCTAACGTACTCTTCCAGTATCTCATGAGTGCTAGAGCTGGTTGTACTGCTATATAACCTATTTCTTCTCAAATATTGACGATTATTGCCTACGCAGAAGATCTACATCTAGATCCCCGAGTGGCTTAAGTCGTGTCTGGCATAGCTCCTCCAAGCGCATCGAGTGTACAATGAACTGTGTCCCCTGGTCGCCCACACGGGGCCAGCTTGCTACACCACCCTAGGACTATCCACCTGAAAGTTGGTATATTCCTTGAAGATGTGACCTATCGGTAAATTGGCCATACAAGGCCGCTCTATACCGTCGGACTGGGACTCAGCCGGGGTCAGACGACCTACTCGTAAATTCTGTCTTCCACATCAGGAATCTCTCCAACTGGTCACTAGCTCTGCCATTCGCAGAAAGCTATTCGTGGCTAGTATATGTTACACGATAACAACCGATAGTGAGTGATCTGCAGCCACAATTACATTGTTGGCTTCGTCATAGCCCAGCTGTTGGGGTATTGCTCTTTAACCTCTATATTCTTTATCCGAGACCCTGGGCCACGCTGGCCTCGGTCTCCATGGTGATTTATATGATATTGCGACTACCAAACGATGTGGATAGCTTTGAACTCGGTAAGCATTATTTGTACTGACTCTGCTCATCTGAATGTTACACATGTCGAATCAGTTCGTAGAAAATCGGATAAGGGGGTACTAGTATGCTGTAGTTGAGGGATTCTTAGGTTCGTAGCACGAAAAAGAACAGCCCTAGAGTGAAACAAATTTCAACTGTATCCAAGCCTATCCTGTTGTTTCTCGTCCATGATAATAGAAAAGTTGACACTTTAGCGCCATCGTACATCTCAAGCACCAGGGTCAATCTTGGCCAACATAGTCCAGTGGCCATCCTTCGGGCGTTAGCTGCCCACAGAATTCAGGGTTATAGACAGGTGCTGTCTTATCCAGGGTAGCCACATATCGATTGCGGCCCCTACGTTTCCCGTGTGTTGTATAGTGGGCTTTGAGGTTATCGCGACGCAAGAAGCCGCGTTGGCAGCCAGGTACCCAGCAAACATGAGGCCTCTCTCCTGAATGGCTTGCCAGGTGACGATTAAGGGTCTTTTGAAGTTTGAAATGACTCTCACATCCCCGAACGTCGCATTTGAACTGCC